AATTCATTTTTTCTAAGCTTTTGTCAAGGAAGAACCAGTCCACATGATCGTAGGTCTTCTTGAAGTCGATGAATATGAGCGCTGCATTTTGTTTAGATTGTTGGGACAGCTGTAGCACCTCGTTGACCAATAGGATATTTTCGTGGATTTGTCTGTGTTGTATGAACCCCGTTTGTGATGGGTGAATCACCACCTCCAGGACCGGGATCATCCTGTTCGCTAAGGCCTTGGCCAACATTTTGTAGGTGACGGTCAAGAGAGTGATGGGTCTATAATTTTGTATATTAAATTTGTCCCCTTTTTTGCTGAGCGGGCTCGCAAAAGGGTTTCTGAGGTAGGCCCAGACCTCCAAGGGGCGACTGGAGGAGGGTGCCTGATCCTCCACCCCACATAAAATCAGACCAAATTGACAATTACCCAGTGATGAACTGGGGGGGGGGCTGCCATGACAACCTAAGGGGCCGGGTATAGTCTAGGTACTGAGAACACGTCAGCGATAAGTGTTGCATATTGTCTTTGGAGTGTTGCATTTGGTATTGGGGGGGAGGCTAGGAGTTGGCCATAGATTGATAGGCCAGGTTGTGCTTAACATCATCACCATCATCATCATCAGATCATTATCATCAGTATCCTCATCATCATCATCATCATACTATCAGTAGTATCAGTGGCATTATCGGCAAAGTTCATGAGGGACGCTGGGCCCGGTTCCAAGCATGTGTTGTTTTACCAACTCAATAATGTATTACGCTGGACCCGCTTTCCAGCAGGTGTAGCTCCCCACCAATAGACTGGATCCCCCTGCAAGAGAGGTAGGAGTGCATGCTCTTACCATCACTCCTATCTGTTGATGCGGGGGAAAAAAAAAACAGAAAAAAAAAACTCTTCTAAGAAGGCACCTCCACCTCCCTGGCAAACCAATCCAGCCCAACTAGGGTGTTATTCGGGAGAGGGAACGGGTCCGGGAAATCGGATGGGGGGGTAGCAGAACATCAGCCCCAATCCCAGTCCAATCCTTGAAGCACAGCCGATAGTTCTTCTAGGCGGAGTCCAACCATTGCTGATCTGCCATTTGCCAGCCCTGCCACTGTACCAACACTATCCCCCCACCTCGTTCCTCCCCAGCCATTCCATGCAGGACTCCTTAATAGACTGGGTAATGTCTGATTTTTTGTGAGAAAACTCATTTTTTGCGTTGTTTTCAGGTTTTCCCATTCAGCCCTAATTTCAGTTTCTATAATTATTTTGATGGTGTCTGTCGTTTCCCCATCCCCCACATGTGCACCTTCAATTGCTAGAGAGCAGCGGCGCCACCAGAGCGCCCACAGGACTGCCTTTGAAGCGACCTTTCTCCCCAGCAAACAAATTTCGCCGTGAAGGGTGAAACCTGGGCTGTTTAGTGACCACACATCAGCGCCCTCCAATCCCAAGACCGCTGGCAATCGGTCCCCAGCTGTTCCCAGGAGGGGGCCTTTTTGTCGGGTACCGGCCTTTTGCAGCGCCCTGGTACCGGGCCTCCATCCGAACCTAGGTCCGGGCCTGTCCTCCCGTGGTCCCCACATGAAAGGTACCAAGGCCTTGCCAAATTCCGTAGGGCCCAGCCCCGGAATTAATAAGGTTGCGGCCCAAAGGCCCCTCTCTCAGCTTTAGGCCCCTTCCGGCTCTACTTAGGCCCCGTCGGTTTAAGTCCCAAGCGAGTCCGAGCAGTGTTTTGCCTCCACATTATTCCCCCGATGAACTCCGGTATCATTCGCCACTTGGTTCGCCTGAGGGCTCGTCTCAAGAGCCTGATGCCCTCTCGTGTTCGACCCATCGCCCGGTCCTTAATGCAATCCGGCCCTCTCGTTTTCGTCCCTCACCTGGAGTCTCCGACGCTTCTTCTGTAGTAGCCGCGCCTTTGTGCCTTGGCAATGATATGCCTCAACAATGTGCGTAAGGGGGTGCTCACTCAGAGATGATGGCTCTGCCCTTTCCTAACGCCTCGGCCTCGACACTCGTCGCATGAATCTGATACCATATTTTTTTATGTTGGTTGTGACCCTGCCAGACAATTTAGCTGGATCCCATTCTCCTCAAATGTTATCATCAAGTAAGTAAAGGGCGGTGTAAGGCTGGAGCCACCCGACACCGGTATATTTGGAAGCCAAGTGGGAAAGGGCCACAATTGATTTTTTTTTTTTTTTTTTTTTAAGGACAACCCCCTGCAGTGCTAGTGGTGCTGACGAAATCAGACACCGCTAGCACCTGGGGAGAGGCTCCGTCTATTGGTGGGGAGCATCACCTGCTGGAAAGCGGGTCCAGCGTCCCTTTACAACACGAATACAGAATGCATACAAAGTGAGGAAGCCTGCCAGCATTGATTACTCTGGCATCCAGAGGACTGACTGTGCAGGTAGTCTCGGGAGGGGAGGGGAGGAAGCCTCTTCGCCTTAGTACCAGGCGCCAGATTTTCACTGCTAGAAAGCTAGCTCCTCCCTCAGCTTTTGGATAAAGTTATGGAAGGAGATACAAACACAATTCTGAAAGACTTCTTTATTCCACCAGCATTGATTGCCCGGGGCGAACCCCGGGGATTGACTGAGTGGACTACCTCTGACTGTACACTAACACTCAAGCCCTCCGGTCTGCTCAGGCACTGCCGCGCACACCCATGCGTCTTGAACCTTGATAGTCTCGAAGGAGCCTTCGGCGAGCCGCATCTGGGGGGCACCGGAGGGGCTTGTCTCAGGCTGTCTCACTCTTGCGGCCTCATCCGGGTATATCCAATCATGTCGAGATTATGTCTCAATCTTGCAGCTGAGTTATGTAACAACTTCCATCAGGGCAAGGGAGTGAGGGGGGAACAAGTCCGGGAATTCAGACGGGGGCCTCATCGGGAAGGTTGGGTAAATCTGGGTCCAGTCGTTGAAAATAAGTCTGTAGTCTCTTGGAATTCCTTGCTCTGTCCCAGCGGCCCTATCCCCAGTCCACTCAATTCGAGCCATCCATCCGCCCCGTTGCCCGCCCAACCATTCTATACTGAAACTCATGATCGCCCTCCTTATATCCTGGTTCGTCTGAAACATGTCTAACTGTGGTTTGAGGTCACCGCACCTTCGTGACAGTTCCATTTGCACTAATTCCTTTATCTGCCCTGTCGGTTCAGGGCCCTCAATCTTAACCCCCTCCAAAACTAAAAGGCAGCGCTGCCACCAAAGCGCCCATAGGATAGATCGTCTACTCAAGCTATACAGGTTACTCACATAGGAGGGGGCATTTTCCATTGTCGGATAGTGTCCAGCCAGTATGGCTTGCCAAGACCATCGCCAGGGGGTGTCCGGTGTCACTTTCCTACAAATGCGGTCCCACCATCTCCACGTCAACACAGCCACCGGGCATTGCATAAAGATGTGCTCGATAGTTTCGTTTCTTTTTCGCATTGGGAATGCTGCCAAGCATCGGTGACACCACGGGTGCGCTTTCCCTTCTCGTTATAACTGCGTGTGGTCAATCAGCCAAGCGTTTGTCGGCAGGCATCGGTGGGCAATCTGCCATTGCAGCGACGTGATTTTTGATGGTTTGGCTTTTGTTCCGTTAAACCATTTGATGGGTGTGAGGAGAGATCGATCCACATTCAGGTGTTGGGCCCATCGGCGACCTGTTTTTCGTTGTGGGCCTCCAAAACTGCCCATGGTTGATATATGGGAAAGGTACTGGTGTCTAATAATGCAATCAAAGGCAGGATCATAGGGTAAAGCATCCAACATAGCCACACACACTGCTGTGACATACAAACCAATAAATCTTTCCAATTAGGCAAAAAGGCGCCACACAGCCAATTTCCAAGAGGTCCTCACCTGGTCCAATGCAAACCACCTTCCATGCCCTAACAACACCCTCCTCGAGCAAGACTTACCCCAACAGAACCCCAGCAACAACAACAACAACAACAACAACAACGACAACGACGGCAACGACAACGGCTACAACAACAATAACAATAATGACAATGATAATATTTACATTGGCGACGACGATCGCGGCAGAGGTGGGACCAGCGGAGTTGTTCATGCAACCAATATTATCATCAACATAGTGGGAGAGATGTCGGGATCAGACGAAGATCGAGAGGAGGGGATTGGGGTTGAAAAAAAGTGTTTTACTATTTGTCCCCCCTTCAATCTCGAAGTGTAATTGTTCCTCGACGTCCTCATTGTCTGGCAGTGGATAGGAGTAGGGTCGTCTATGTTGATTGGCGTTGCCCGCCCCGCAATTTCAATCAAAATGGGGTGTTGGTCGCCCCTCAGGTGGGAGGTGGACTGTTTAGCGTTTAGTATGGTTCACCTGTTTGCTCCGTGTCCGATGATAGTTTGTTGGGTTGATGGATGATTGTCTGTCGGGGTGTTTGATGGGGATGCTTTTCATTTTCCGTTAGACAAGTTCTCCCGGGTCTCAGACATGACAATCAACTGGGGAAATAAAACACAAGGATGGTGGATCCATTATCAAGGAGGACGCCCTCCTGAGACCTCCCGTGTCTCTTGGCTACCCCTAGAAGCCCCATTGAGAGTCTTGGGGGTGTCAATAACAGTGACCGGCTACCCTCAAATCAATGATGAATGGATCAGTTTCCCCGCCCTGACGAAACTGTCCAATTGGCGAAACAAGACCACATCTCTTTTCGGTCGAGCATTGGTGATAAACAACGTGGTCTTTGCCTCGCTTTGGTATAAGTCACTGATGTGGCCACTGAGTAAGGAGGCACTGCGCACACTCAAAGCCAAAGTAGCGGCCTTTTTATGGCGAGGGGACGGAGAACTAACAAATGTGATAAGTAGGGTGGCGTGGGACTCAATCATACTTTTTTTTTTTTTTTTTTTTTTTTTTTTTTGGAAGAAACAGGCCGAGCTGAAGCTAAGGGTGCTGGTAAGAGCAGACACCACTAGCGCCGTCAGGAAGGCTCCATCTATTGGTGGGGAGCAGCACCTGCTGGAAATCGGGTCCAGACTCCAGCGTCCCTAGACATGGTAATCATTTGATTATTCGAGCAGAAATCTGTGACGACATGTAGTGTATGTGCGTAAACAAGTGTATGATGATGAGCAGCATTGATTGCCCTTGTGAAAGGGGATTAACTGCTCATAAACCGTGCCTTCCTTACCCTACCGTGCTCCACCCATCCGCGGATAGGTAGAGTGATCACCAGCGAACGAGGGGGGACGAAATCAGAACAGAGTCAGAAACCATAATCGTTTCCCGACAACCCCAACCCTAACCGTAATGACAAGCGTCCTCAACAACCATCCTAGGGAAACAGTCATCAAACACTGCATAGTAATTATTATCTAACACAAGACAGGGGTATCAAATAAAACCCTAAACAGTCCCCCTACCGCCAGAGAGGCCACCACCCCTGCGTAATTGGAGTTGCAGACCGGTCAACTCCACTYCTCGCCAACYAACCCACGCCCATCCGCTGCCAACCAGCAGCCCTGGGCATCCCACCGCACCCGCGATCGAACCCGCGATCGATCTCYGAATCGTCCTTGACATCCTTGGCCTCATCGCCATAACCATAGTTATTGTTGCCGTWAATCCTGTCGGTGCTATTGTCGCCAACAGCGCYGTAGTTAATATTCTTGAGYTGTTTRTTGTTGTTGTTGTTATTGTTGTCGCTGTTGTTGATAATACTGTTGAAGTCAATGTTATCGTTGTTGTCGCCGTTTTCATTGATGCTCTCACCACCTCCAACATCGATCCCTCTGCTAATGATGTCATCTCCTCCGTTGCCGTTCAAGACACCAAGAGAGTTGGAGTTGATAATCGTGAGCTTGTTGTTGTTGTTGTTGTTGATGTTATTATCGTTGTTATTGTCGTTGTCGTTACTGTCGTTGCAGTCGATGTTGGTGCTGAAGCTGTTGTCGCCTCTGCTGTCTTCATTTGTTGTCGCAGGCGACAATCCCGCCTCCAAAGCTTCACAACGATTCTGGTCGTTCCTAAAGATGTCGTAGCATCTGTGCATGAGCAAGCGAGCTTGATGCCAATCAACAAACTCCTCAATCGAAGGAGCCGGCCCCTCCTCCAACTCCCAAATGACTTCAAGCATGCTCTGCATCATGTCCTCCAGCCATGGCGCTGGTGTAACTGTTTCCCCTACAGCCCTTGACTGATCACCATGGCTCGAACACAAAATATCCACAACCTCCTGCAAACGGCGACCGCCTTCTTCTATAGTCTCCAACCATTCAGCCGCACCACTTTGTAATTCTTCGATAGGAACCATGTCGTCCAAAAAACGCGCCGTCAAATCCTGCAAATCAGACGCCTCACACCGACGTATCGTCCCCTTGTGTATCCGGTGGGAATTCCACCATCGCCTGGACAGAGCGACCAAGCAAACACCACAATGACCAAGAATAGCTATGGAACCATAACTGTCCCCGTCCACGGAGTATGGCTGGACCTCGCCAGCCGGTCCGTAGCGCAGGTTAGCGCTAAGCGTCAGCGCGTTTTGAGCCAGCAACCCCCCCTGGTGTCGTTCCAATCGGGACTCAATCATACAACCAAAAGTACTAGGGCGCTTAGGGATAATTGACCCTACAACTCAAACTACAGCACTCCGACTCCAGTGGATCAAGAGGCTGATTTTTGACAAGGACACCCCTGGAAACCTTTGGCTCTAGAACACTTAACCCGCATAATTCCTCAGGCCCCCTCGGGGGTGCACCCCCTAACCTGGCTGGAGGACCGCAATGAGCTATTCCGCGAAAGTGGCCACGCAGACGGGGGAAGCCCAGAGAACGAATGGATGGCTTTTGGTCGTCGCTTCTGTGAAGCTCGCGGAAACTCCCCCTCCCAAATAAGAAAGACCCGGACCGATGGGAGGAGGTACTTCGTCAGCCCCTCTTCGGAAATCATTGGCTTACTGACAGAAACAGCCAGGAAATGTGCAGTTCAACAACCCCATGGAAAAGCTGGGTAAAAAACGGGGTCACCCGTATAAAAGATATCTGGGACTGCAACCGACGCTGCTGGAAAACAGCTGACGAACTACACAACGCGATGAGGTACTGCCACCATATTGACCACAACTTAGATATGATCATTGAGACAATACCACTATCCTGGTACATAATACTGAGGAGAGGCCCATCACTACAAGAAGGGGACTGGGTGGCGATAAGAGGGATCGCTGATCAGGTGGGGAGAGTCCATAAAACCCAGAATGACAACCCCCTAGTAGAGAGGTTGCAGTCGGCAGATCAGGGGTGCTGCAAGGGAGCCGAGCCCCCTTTATCTGGCACGACAAGGTAGATATTTTCCGAAGCCGAGTCCTTGGGGATGGGGAGAAAGCCTGCGCATTCCAACCGGACATCGAGATTCAAGGCCTCCCCTTTGACCCTGTAGAATGGCAATGGAAACCTGCGGGGCGCAGAGCCAACCATACTGCTGTGATTAGCCCCCAGAAGCTGACGGTAAAGTCTACATACAAAATGCTCAGACCCAAACGCCATCTAAAAGACAGAATAATTGACAGATGGACAAAACATCTAAATGTAGACCGCTCCCTTCTGACGCCGATACCTTGGTTCCAAGGGCGAAAAGAGAAACCGGCAAAGATCACCTCCCTACAGTGGCAGCATCAATGCCTACCAACAATGGATTGGTTGATCGATCACACAAACCTGGAACAAAAAGGCCAAGCTCTCCCCTGGTGTACACGGTGCCTGAGAACCTTACCTCCACGGAAAAGTGCAGAAACGATTGAACATATTTTCATGCAATGCTGAACCGCACAACTCACATGGCGTTGGTGGGACAGAATCTGGAGAAAGATGGTCCCTGACACTCCATGGCCCTGGACCAGGAGGGCAATACTGTTAGGATATTGGCCCCGGGCCCAAGAGGCATCTACGTACACAAAAAACATGTTCAATCTAAACCGTAGAGCGCTACTGTGGGGGCTTTGGTGGCAACGTTGCCTCCTGGCCAGAGAAAGTGTACAGGTAGAAGTCCCTGAGGTAACAGAGCAGATCCAACAACAATTCCAGCTAGAACTAATGAGAAGGTGGCAAATTTTGAAGCGCCAACTGGACTGTTTTCATACTAATAAAGACATAAGGAAGGCAATCTCTTCCTTCCAGGGAGATTGGCTAGGGGGGGAAGGAGGCGGATGGGTAGCGAAGATTGAGTGGGGCGGCAATAAGGAAGATCAACAGCACCTGGAGTTGGTAGAATGCAGAGACTACCGTTTGACTTTTAACGAGTGGACAGCCATCGAACCATCCTTCCCTCTCCGCCCCTCGTCAGACTTCCCAGACCCTTTCCCTCCACATCCACTCTCCCTGTTTGAAGCAATTGTTTGAAGAGAGGACAAACATGTTCCATGGGTGTGCATGCAGACACCGGACACTTGGTGTGACGGAAGCTCAACCCTAACTCACTCCACTTCTCAACATCCTGATGTTCAAGGGAGAAGGGTGACGAAAGGAGGCCCCACTGGTGCCCCCCAGTGGTCCCCCCTCGAACTACCCGGCCTCCAGCTTGCAAAGTCTCAATACTGCTCAGTCAATCCCCTGGATCCCAGGGTAATCAATGCTGGCAGGAACAATTCTACAATAGCGTGATAAATGTATCGCAGATGTAGTCAGATGTATCTCAATCTCAGTCTGTAGTTAGCAAAGTCTCAACAACTCTCAGGGGGAG